TATATATATATATATATATATATATATATATATATATATATATTATTCCCTAAAATGATCCAAATCGGTACCTGCTCCTACAGTAAATGCAGGCTGTCCACTTGATGGATAATTAGACCTCGGTTTTTAAGAGCTCAACATATATTTTTTTCCCTCGGAATTATTCAACTCGCAAATCAAAGACGTTTTGCAATTCAAATAATACAATCCTCATAATTGGGGGTTTTTGCCTGATAACAGTAAGTGTTCAGCTTATTCTTGCAGAGAGTACACTCTACGAATAGTCCCTACAAAACATTATCCAAAGACATACAAATATGAATAAGGATGTCGATCGTTTGGTTAATGATTACAGATTAGAGTTAAGGTACACGTCGGTTACTCAGATAAAAAATCGTGCAGTTAAGCATTCAATATGGGCCGCAACAATGAACTGCAATCCAAATGGGTGATAAAAACAATACCTGGCAAGGCCATGTATGAGAATAGAGATTGTAACATGAGATAAACACTCTAAACAATGCCGTTTCGGCCGCTGCTCTCTCTATACTTCCTCAAAATTGTAAACTCTTGAGCAGGTCTTTGGCAGTCCGTAGTCCCTCTCTCGAGGCCGAAGGTTTTGCCTCCAAGGGTCATTGTGCAATTTGTAGTGTAAACTCTGTTAATGACATAGATGTTAGCTTCAAAATTTTGTGGAACTAGTACCAGAAAAAGATTTTACGCAGCACCTTAATTTCTCTTTTGATAAATAAATAGTATCATATACATACAAAGCCTTCATTTCTAAAAAGGTTTTGTTAGGCTACACCACTGACCCTTAAAGTGCTAAACATTTTTGGATACTAAAATACCCTTGAATTGCAATACAAAATTTTTCAAATAAGGGTATTTTTGGTCATTTAGAAAGGCAGAATGGATATTTTTATAAAAAAATAATAACATTCTATTAGTAGTTAAAAACAATTAATGCATCTTGTGGGTGATGTCACACACCATATCGGTGATATCATTGTACACTATTGTTAATAAATGTTTTTGTTTCTATTTGGAATTTCTAGTTTATCCTTGACTAATTACTTAAAATTTCCCTAAACAAGAAGTTACCATACTACAAGATAAGGGTATCTAAAGGTCTAAAAATGTTGAGTAGGGTCTACACCACAAGTGGTGTAGCCTAACAAAACCCTATTTTCCTATGAATGGTCAGTCAACATTTTTATTTTCCCATGAGTGGTTAGTCAACATTTTTATTTTCCTAAATTCAGTGAAGTTTTGGTCATTGTTTCAAACAACGAAAGCCTGATTGAAAAGCCACTATACATAAATAATTGTCTATCAAGGTACTGAGGTGTATGCAATTGGATGTATACTCTTTTATGATCAATAAGTAGTGAATTATACAAATGGAAACCTGTATAAATGTAGAGAAGACATCATCTTCTACTAGTTTTGAGAACTCCTGACCCCAATCATACTCAGAATCATACATTTCGGATTGCCTATTAGCCTCGAGCATAACAGAATCCCGATAAAGAAACCTTTGCCAAATGTTTTGTACATTTGCCAACTTCAATTCTCTTTCTGTTTCATTTATTGCCTGCAACAGAATGAAAGCATTAAGAAAGTCTCTCTCTCACCATTGCAACAAATAAGTTGCATTTATTTTCAATGCTGCATTTATTTTCAATTTCCAGGTAAGAAAAGCTTTACCCGCAGGATATTAACCATATTTGGGATATCATTCTCATGAATACGAACAGCAAAACTGTCAAGATTGAGCATGTTCTCATAGGGCAAGAAGATCCCATCCTGCAATAATGGAAAACAGCTAATCAACAACAAATCATCTGGGTAAACTAACAAAAGTATATATGTGGAAATAATACTTAATAAATCCAGAAACGCCACCAAAATCAGGAAAGCATGCCATACACCAATGCTGCTGTGCATGGAATATAACATACACTGAAGGCGCATGGTAGAAAGATAGCATCACCATCTTTTGCAGTTTACAGTTGTTAAGAGATTAACAGTACCAAGGTGACCATCTGTCATCGGAATTACAGTTAATCTCCATTGACCATTACTGGGAACGGATGGCGGATGTCCCACCATATGTATTCCATTCAGAAAATGATAGAAATGAAGCATGCTCGTATTCATGTACTTGGTACAATTTGAGAATGTAAACCCTCTTAACACAAAGATATTCAAATCTTTTATTCAAAATCCACTGCTCATGTTTTTTAATTTTTATGCCTAACCATGGACAATTTTGAAAGCGACATACCTTTTTTAATTAAAAAATAACCATTGGAAAAAATAAATATACAAAGTCCCAAATTCCTTCACCTGACCATGGAAAGAATAGGAAAGCCAAATAAAATCCAATCATAAACATGACTTGCATCATAACAAACAAGAAATACAAATGGCTCCGAAAACAAGAACCACCACCACCACCATGACCAATATTAAATGTTAAATAATAAAAATATTATTAATTATTAAATATCACCTGAATAATAACTGGAATACACCCTTGTAGAACACTATCCTCCATGCGACCACTCCAACCATCACCAGGCAGAACACCACAAAAGATGGAACTTGCCAGATCTCCATGGTAATTATCTGAGCGCAACGGTGAAACAATCACATCTGATGCATGCTGTTCTCCCAACTTGCCTGCTTTGTTTGGAGTTGAGCCAAATTCTGCAGCTAATTTCTGCCTTGTACCCATACTATAGCTGAAATATTGTGGACAAATCACAAGAATCAGGAAAACAGGAGTCCTAAATGATTTCTTTTTTTTCTTTTTGATAATAGTAATTGAAGCAACTAAGTTAACATGTAAAAAAATTTGTTGTGCGAGAGAGAGAGAGATGTATCAGGTTAGGTACGTGTTTTCAGGCCGGCTATCTGGATACGCAGGTCCCAAATTCCCATTAAAATAAAACAGGGTTTTTCGCTCTCCCAATGGTCTGCATGAAAATCAATTTCATATCAATTTCAACGCTTAAAGGAGTAAGCAAAGTATACTACAGTCCAATGGATTATGAAAAAACATTCCATTTTGGTCATTAGCACCTAATGAAATGCGGATTGTGGTGGAGAGAGAGAGTGATCCACCAGAACAGAAGATGACCCCAATGGTAGAATGCACTATCTGTCATTCTCCATCGCTTCATACGATGCTGATAATCCCAAAGGCCTATGGTTTCTGTAGGCCACTGGATTACAGTACACTTCCCTAAAAGGGTAATCAAATGGAACAAACCTCAGCCTCTCTCATAGCATTATCTAGAGCAATACCTGGCCCATAATTTGGATTTGAGGGCAAAAGGATCTGGCATTTTCCATGCAGGGAGCACAAGATCCTTTTCTGGGACAAAGCATGGATGGCTTCCTCTTCTCTCAATAGGAATATGGTCCCAATTGTCAGCAAAATAAGCTGTTGTTGAGTAGTTGTGCTTTGAATTTGTGTTTCCCCAATGCACTAACATCATGCTGCTCCAAATCTCATTAGGGGCAGAGCAAGCACCTTCATCCCAAGAAAAAAACTGCCTTCAAAGGAGGCAAGAACAATGTTAGATTACATGGAAGAGAAGCATGCAAGGTTGTAAATGATAGGAAAGTGTATCATGCACAGCCTGTGCATATTATCCAAACCCGGAGATCCACCACCCACTGTCCTCATCAGAGAATTATGCCAATGAGATGCAGTTTGGATAGCAACACAATTGAAGTGATATGGAGGAAATATAACTGATCTCCCCCATCCATCATTGTGGTTGGATGGTGATGGTATCTGATTGTGTAAACAGCCAGTGCAAGAATTTTCCTGAGCTGCTATTGCTCTTCCTGTCTTTTCCTCAAAAACTATTAAAAAACTCTGGATCATACCCATATATGGTCTCTTCCAGCTGACCGATTCCAGTATGGATATTGCTCACGGATATGTTCATATGCCCTCTTATAGTAGTCCAAATTTAGGAAGCTCCTAAATCCTCCGAAATCCTGAAATTTTATTACATGTTGATGTCAAATTCCATAGCCTAAACATAAAATATAAACTACTTATAATATGCAAAAGGACAATATGCAAAACAGAGTACAAGTGGAGTCCAGGCCCCTGTGTGTAACCCTAAATAACAAGGAATGGGCTTATAGAAAATTTGGGGCACTGAAAATTACCGTGTAACTTCTTGAACTTAAATTTTGAGAAAATCAATGGGAGCATATTTTTTACCACTCAACTTGTTTAATAATCCACCCAACAATGTTTGTGGTCAAATCAATTCCATAGTGTTACAAGTCATGTTCAGGGTGGGCACAGTCAAAAGCAGTGGTGTATAATTAGAAAAGTGAGTGGCCAAATGTGCTCCCAAATTAATGCTGAAAACCTATGATAAATTTCATATAGCATATTACCAATGAGTAATTATATAAATACTGGTTCAGGATCTGAAAGACGATATCCTCGACAAATAGTTTTCTTCCCAATCAATAAGTACATGAAAAAACAGCCAGCTAAGATAGCTAGGATGAGCAATCAATTACCAAAAAGAAAAACATTAAATCTGGACATCTATACTTAGACAATATCCTTTAAAGATTAAATTTATATTTTTTTTAATTAAAAAAAAAAAACACAGCCAGAAATATTGCTATGAAATAGATGCAAAACTCCTGTTGGGCAAGGGCGAACCCTACGTTGGAGCTAAGTAACCTCGAATAAGACTAAACGTGAACCATTCAACAGGTTTGATGATGCCCAAATTGGTCCTCAATCTCAGAATCAATAAAGTAATCCAAGACATTTCTCAGTATTTAAAAATGAATAGGAGTGCATCTTAAACTTAATTTTGAATGTCTTATACTTCCTAAGAAGTTGATGGAATAAGTTTATCACCTAGAAGAATTGCAAGTTGCCGTACGTGAGGGCCAGTTTGGATGTAAGACTTGTCATTCTACTCACCTAGAAGAATTGCAAGTTTTATTGAGCTAAGTCTAAATAACCGACCCCAAAAGTTGGGATAAGGCTTGGATGATGTTGATAATTAAGCTAAGTCTAAATATGTTGCTATTTTATTTTGTTGTACCCATAAACAGTTTTGTTGCAGAGGAAGGGAGAGAAAAATAGATCTCTCGCCTCTTCCTGCAAAATTAACCCCTATATAATATTACTCTGAATCTATTCTCTCTCTCTTCCTTCTCCAATGGCTAATTCCAAGAAACCCTGAGGGGCTCAAATCAACCATCCTGTAGATCTCCCCACATCAAACTTCCTAAAATCTTCCCATACAAATCCCTTCAATGACCTGAAGCATGAAAACTCCACTAATGGCTGAAACCATTACCTTCACTTCTGACAAAATTGTACAACTTCAGGCATAGAAAACACAATTCCTACAATTAATAGTATTCTCCAAACGAAGAAAATTCAGGCTAAGGGAAAAAATGTTACCCCAGAAATCATTGTAAGCAAAGTGGTTTGGCTCTTAGGAAACTAGGGTTTTGAAGATATCTTCACTTCAAAATGTGGACAAAAGAATTTATAGTTTGGGGTTTTGTGTAGCTGGAAATTTAGATTTCTACTTACCCACCAAAAAATAAATAGAGAAATTGGATTATCTATTGCCCTGTTATGTAGTTGGTCTAATAAGGATGAGGACTTTAAACTTTCGCTCAACTCGTCCCAAGCCCGAGTAAAAGAGGTAGGTTGCATTAGGTAGGCCACCACCTCTTTTAAAATGTGGACAAAAGAAGTTACAGTTTGGGGTTTTGTGTAGCTGGAAATTTTAGATTTCTACTTACCCAACAATAAATAGATAAGAGAAATTGATTTATCTATTGCCCTGTTATGTAGTTGGTCCAATAAGGATGAGGACCTTAAACTTACTCGTCCCAAGCCCGAGTAAAATAGGTGTGTTGCGTTAGGTAGGCAGCCAACATAAAACTTTGCCACATCTTATCATGAATCCTAAACCTATGTTAATGTAGATGCCGTTCCCTTTAAGCAACGTGCTGCACCACCCGGGTAAAGTGAGGGTATGGCCCTTGATAGAGAAGAATGGAAGAACAAGATTCACGTAGCCGACCCCAAATAATTGGGATAAAGCTTGGATGATGATGATACTGACGATGATGATTGCCCTGTTATGTGGTATGTAATGCAATATGTAACAAGCTCTCTTTCTCTCTTTAAAATGGGTGGCTCTCGCTAAATTGGGTGCTCAGACTGGTATCTAGAAACGTTTGCAATGAGTTATCCGGTTGTGATTCAGAGCCAGTGAGTTTTCTTGTTGTGGGTCTGATTTTGGTGAGGAGTCATGTTGTTCATGCATACAGAAGAAAAGAAGCCTTACCAACTATGTTTTCTGAAAGATCACGGCCATGGTGATTTTCTTTGAGACCCGGAGCAAATAAAAGGTAAGCGTGAGAGAATGGCTGCAATACAAACAATAGCATTGATGGGGATGATAAGCTTCATCTCTGTGTCTCCATGATTTCTCTAAAGACAGAGAGAGAGAGCTCTTTTTCCCCTTACATGTTGAAGAGGACACTAAAGAGAGAGAGCGAGAGAGAAAGTGTTTTATGGTTGGAGGGTTTGAGACAGGTGTGTATGTGCATGTGTGTGTGTGTGCATGTGTGTGAGTGTGTGTGTGTGTGTGTGTGAGAGAGAGAGAGAGAGACAGGAGATTGCGGTTGGAGGGTTTGAGAGAGAAGGGGTGAAAGACAGTTGTGGTCGGGGGTTTGAGAGAGGAGCCATGATTTTGAGAGAGAGGCCCAATATGCCAAAAAAACATTTAAGTCTGTAGAATTTTTTTCAGATGGCAATTTTGGCATGAATGTAATAGGTTTTCTAATTGGCATCCAAAAAGCTACCAATCATCCAAGCATATCCAAACCCTAGGGGAAAAAAAATGTATTTGTTATCCTAAAAATTTACAGTTACATCCAAACAGACACTAAAGAAGCTATAATACTTGGACATATTTAAGGCTCACTAGGTATGCTAAGATTGACCTATCAATGCTGATGCATGATGAGGGCGCTTAAGATGTAAGGCGAAAAAGGTACTTTCTGGAGGTGACAGACCAACCTATGAATCTAAGAAATCTGACACCATTCTAAATAAAAAACCTAAACCTTCAATGCCATAACCACTCCAAGACCTCCCGTCAAGAAAATTATCAAACCAAATCAGTTCAGAGCTAGATTGACAAAGGCATTATAGACAAAGACTAAAACAATCAAACTCTAATAATATAACAAATATCGATTTCATCAAATATATTAACTCCCCCATCTTCTAACCAATCAGTGACATAAACCAAAATCACATTATCTCTACAATCATGGAACAAGGTTCCAATCACAGTGTCCCACGAAACCAATGATCCAACTTACTCTACCATTGTCGATTTCTGTCTCCCAATATGAAACAAAAAATAAAACATCTGAAGTATCTGCAAATGGCATTCAATGCCAGCAGAGGCCAAATTACCTGCCATACCATTTAAAACTAAAACCCATACCCACATATTATTATTCTCTCTTAACAATGTTCCTGATATTTTCCATGAAGAAATTGGCAAATCCAGTTGAGTTATTCATTCAAATCAGATCAGTATTCAGTCAGCTACCCAGATATCCCTGACTCTTTCTCTCTCACACACATGTGCACACGCACTACTATATACATCTATACGTCTACATCATCATCATCCGAGCCTTATCCCATATAACATTGCATTAGGATCATGATAGAGATCTGGGAAAAGTTTTACACTAGCCGTCAACCTAAACACAACCCTCCTCCTTTCTCATTCCGGCTTGGGGCTGGCCATGAGGGAGTTATATCTATCTATATATCTATCTATCTACCTATATGTGTGTATGTTTGTGTCCATCTCTTTATCTCTTTATCTATCTATAACTAAACACTAGCATACAAACATATTAACTAAATATATTAAGGTACTAAGTATGATATGTAATGAACCATAGTTCAAAAGTAAATATAGGTATTCTATATCATCTTAAATGGTTGATACTGCCACATCTATCAAAAATTTCAAAAATTGAAAGTCTAAATATTCTTCCAACTGCCTAACATGTTCAAAATCACTTCCAACAAAGAAAATTAAAGCCTTCAACAAATATCCCTTCAAAAAGAAGTGCATGGTGCAGAACTCCACAAGAAACATGTAAAAAATACCCACATTTGCCAAATCCAGGGCACATCACAGCATAAGTCAATTGAAATATGAATTCGATTTCAAACAATAGACATTGAGATCCTAAGAAGTTCACACCATGAAATGGAAGAAAAACGACTGAAAAATTGACACAGAAGCAAGTGGTATGAATAAAGAGTTCGATTAAGTTGCATATTATCAATTCATTTTCGACATTTAATATTCTAAGAAAGTTCATACCTTTCTATGGTGTCTAAAAGCTTGACACAAAAGCATGATTTGTGAATGAAGACTTGATCACAATCCATAGGTTCAATATCTTTAAAGTTATAAATAGACTTCATTACCATTCGAAATAGTGAGCTCATAGTTATCGGAATATCTCACCCAAGGTCGTAATTCTAATTCGGAATTCCGGTTCCGTGATTCCGACAAGGAATCTTCACGGAATCCGATTATATGAAGTTAAGAATCTCGATTCCCTATTTTAGAAATCTTGATTCCAAATGCATAGAATCTCGTTTCTAATATTTATTGATTCTCGATTCCTTAATTGTTGAATCTTGATTCTACATTTGTTGAATCTAGAATCCACATATACTTGATTCGATTGCTTTCTAATCCAGATCCTTGAACATTAAGTACCGCAATTTGTAGATGCAAGAAATCACGAATTAATCAAACATCGAATCTTGCTTCCACCTGCATTGAATCTCGATCTAACTGTTTTAGAATCATAATACCACAAAATCAAATATTAACGTTCTAGGTGCACAAATATGTGATTCATGGATCGATTCAAATATTTATGGATTTTGATTTGAGTTATCTAGAGATGTTTGTCTCCCATAGTTCATATGTGCTCCGAATAATAATCCAATAAATGCATTGTCAAAGTATTAGTTCCATAAATCAGTTTTCAAATGCAAATGTCTAGAGTTAAGTTCTTAACAAGTATTATTCCAATATCTTTTGCAAGTAACAAAGGCAAGTATAACTTGCGCATTAGAGCATTAAAATTAAGAGAACTTGGCCTTCCAACGTTAAAAATTGAATACTCCATATCTTTACCCGCAGTATCAAAGGCACATGCTACAACATCCTGGTACAAACAAAATTCTATTTTGAACTATAATAATGAAATCAAAATTACATTTTAAAAATACATGAGATAATATTCGCATATCTCGTAGGCAATTTTCCGAAGTGGACTACGAGTGTCTATAAATTGGACCCTACTTCTAATACTGTGACTGGGGCTCAAAAGTTAACACATTCACTTCAAATCCAAGGAACCCTTCTTCAAGTCTTAGAGACCTCTAATCTTGTTTGCTTCATAAGGTTCTAAGTTGTGTTACAAACTCGATCCCATAGTGTTACAAATCTCGATAGCCAGGTGGGTCGAAACTCAACTCCAAACTGACATGAATCTTGACTTTAGATACATTAGAAACTTGATTCCAAAGAGGTCGGAATCTCAATTTTATATATGAAGGAATCTCGATTCCATATGGGCTAATTCCAAATAGGTTAGATACTCGATTCCAACGAGGTCAGAATCTCAATTCCATATATGTAGGGACCTCAATTCCATTTAGGTCAAATCTTGATTCCTATTACGTAGGAATGTCATTTCCGACAATTCCCTTTGTACTTACATCGATTCTAAAAATAAGATTCTCCTAGCTAACTGTGATTCCAATTCTTAAAACGATTTGGAATCTCAGGCGGTTCCAACAACTTGAGTGAGCTGTCAAAAAAGGAACAAAAAAACTAAGGTAGAAATGAGTCTCTTAATAAATGGTATTTTAAGAGAAAATGATCACAAAATGACATGCTTTATGCGTATAATGCAAAGCAAACTAATACCTGCATACCCAAGTGGGGTGCATCGTCCGCACGAGTGATCAAACATGAATCAAGCACTGGGACATAATAATAATCCGCTTCTTCACCATTTGTTGTCCTATAAGGGCTGGCCAAGATGCTCTCATAGAGTGCCATCTGTAAAATGAGCACAGAGAATGCCCAATGAACCCAATTGTAACTAGATTTTCCCAGTATCAAATTGGAAGTTCCATCTCTACAATAAAATACATACCTGAGCTCCATACAGCTGGTCTGTCCATAGAGTTTCGTTCTTTTCACCGTATATTCTATTAACACATTCAAATTTGTAATGTCGGCCCTGCACCATATAAAAAGTACATTAACAACCCCAAACCTGCTGATCAGTATTTTTCAACAAGAGTGCCAAACCAACCTCAAGGAGATGACTATTGAATTCTGCAGGCAAATCATAGACATATATAAGAGGCCTTTTCTTTTTCACAGCAGCGACAAGGTTAACAGAGCCACCATTATCTGGTATAGTAACTGTTGCTGGGCGAAGCCAGTGGGGCCATTCTTTTGCAGACGATGAAATTGAGGGTACACTGCAGTCAATCCCATACCAGCCACTGTGGCACTAAAAAGGACACCAAGAAATGATCAGAGATGCTCAATTCAAGCAAAACAACACTAATATAATGACTTTCACTCAGTTTACTTAGGGAATTCCCCAGTGCAACAGGTGAAGTTATAAAGAATGTAAGTGAGCAAATTACTTGAACAATTACATAAACAGTCTAATAGCTTGAGATGGTTCCAAATTTCATTACTGAAAGAACAAGCACATTATAAAGAGAAATAACCAATTGCTATTTTTCTATTATTTCTACACTTGAAGGAACCTGGAACATGTCATATGTCTAGGTAAGTATAAAAGTTAAAATGACTTACTTGACAGAATCCACCACGACAGTGTCCATGTCCAGAGCACTGGTTTATACAACTGCATAATGAAGGAATCTCACAAAATTGTCCCCACAGACCATCATATTTACAATCACATTCCTCTTTGTATCGAACCTTTTTTTTATATGCATCATCTGGATCCACATTACACCAGCCAGCTTTGCTGCTATTACTTGTAAAAATATTTTCCAGGTCAGCTTTTGTCCAGTCAACTATTTTTGGGCCACCAGGTGTTGTAGGTAACCTGTATTGTTCTCAAATTTAGGAATAAAATCACCCCTATTCTTTTATAGAATATAGTACAACATCTTTTTATAAGCAATAGGTTATGATGTCTCATGGTAAGAATATGATGAAGTATCTATCATTTCAATAATTATGTGAAAGAATATATAAGAAAAGCCAACTTACGTCACTCGAAAGCCACATGCCTCTGCCACAGGGCGATTCGGATATTTTGTTCCTTCTCCACAGAAGCACATTGCTCTTGTTGTATCACAATACGCAGAGCAACTTGAAACAATCCATGGTCCATATGGAAACTCGGAAGAATTTGGCAAGTTGCAATTCATGTGTAATCTCTCAGAGCAGTCTTCCCCTATTTATCATAATGACGTACTTTTAAATTTTAATTACTTCGCAATTCAACACCTCAAATATATAGTGGACAGAAACTCATGCCTCAATAAATGAAAGCATCAAACAGAAGTCATGAAGCTAAGAATTACTCTCATACACAATCACACTTGCTGAGAGAAGTATAGTTTTGCCAAAAAGATGACCTTACATACAATTATTTGTCTTTCTTAGAAACGAACTTCTATGACGTTGCACTTTGCAAATATCCATCTTCGCTCGTAATCAGGAGTTTAAAAAAGGCCAACCCGGACAAAGGTATCTCTAGACAGTGGTTTAAAAAACGGATCGGTGCTATGGATCGAGCACCCCAAAAACCCATCCGAATCAGTGAATCAGTGCTTCGGATCGGGAATCGGCCGAATCGGTCGGATTCGGCCTTAAAAAAAATTCAAAAAAATTATTAAAAATCATTATAAATGTTGTTTTTTAGGAATCCAATAAGAAATGCAAGTACTACATTAATAAATTTTATTTTTTTGCATCAATATACGAATATTGAGATGTTCTTTTCCTATATGAAGATTCTCATCAAGCATTTATTAAAACCTAACTAAATACAATATTACACATTGAAATTAGAATTATTGGTTCGTATTTTATTATTTTATCATCGTTTTACTATACAAATAAGAATAAATTTGAAATTTGTCTTTCAATATCATCTAATTTAAAAATCTAATTTACAACTATAACAAAAAATAATACATTGCATAATTTATAATGTAAATAAATTATTAAATAAAATAAAAGATTTGATTATCATTGTAATTAGTATAATTATTAATTACAATATTATAATAAACGTGATTAAAAAAACAAGGGTATGAGCCTCACAAATAAATAAATATAATGTATAATAATTAGAGTTGATAAAAATATAGAATTTAGTAACATAAATTTGCAATCATATTTTAATAAAATTAGGAAAATAAATAAAAAAATTCATATTTGCAATGTTAGATAATTGATAAAGCAATTTGAAATAAATTCTAAAGTGGTATGAGCTAATGTTATTTTTCTCTCTTAAAATATCCCATAAACTAGTATTTTTTTTTAATGTTCAATAAACCAATATTAGTATTATTTTTTTATTTTTTTAATATCCTATGAGCTAGTACAACAATTTCATATAATTATTTTAATTTTTGTAAATTATTATATGGAATTTTATTTTTATGTTTGTATATTATAAAATATATATATATATATAATTAATCTAAACAAGATTAAATATTAAAAATAAATAAATATATTTAATCTTAAAAAGAATTATAGACCATTTTATTTTATAGATGTCCTTGTATAAGAGAGAAAGATCTATTTATAGAATCCACCCATCCCTACCTAATACAAACACCATAAATAACTTGGAACAAATTATCACCACCATTTAAAATAAAGTGCGCCTTAATTTGGAGCAATGTTGGGCTATGAGAATTATCCCACATCAAAGAGATGTGAGACGAAAAATGCATATATAATGAGTTGCAACAACATATCTAGCAAGGAATTGTTTGGGAATAGGGCCTCGTGCAAGGTGCCAAGGTCCACCATGTGAGGCTTGTCCACGGTTCGTGACATCAGTATGGCAATTCAAATGTTTTTTAATAATAAAATGGCACGGATTGCCGAATCCCATTTTTTCCTTGGAACTGGGACGGCTTGGGGGATACCCGATCCGGATCACCCGATTTCAGATCGGATCGCCGATTTTTCCAACACTGTCTCTAGATACCCGACTAGGCGATTGCCTGGAGGTAAGCGACCGCTAGGGGTGGAGGTGTCTCTAGGCACGCGAGTATGGGTGAGGTGCTGCCTAGGTGGGCACCTACCGCCTAGTCCAAGACAAGTATCTTGATCCCATCTTCTTCTTCTTCTTCTTCCTAAATATATTTATACATTATCTCACATAATATTATATTTAATAACAGTATTAAGGTATGTTTGATACGCTCAAAATATATTTATATTCTAGTTTACTGCAATATTTTAATTTTCCCAAATTCAATATAGCCAAAATAGTGTTGATAGCTCCAAATTAAATCCTATAGTATTCGAATATAAGACCCCAATATCAGTATCCCCAAAAAATAGGTCAGACTTGAATTTTATAAGATGTGTGCAAAAAAACTAACTTGCGGGTTAGCATTTTTCCATCAAAAAATTCAGCGGATCAACATTTCCTCTCTCTAGCTTCAAAACGCCAACCTCTCAAGCCAAAGACCCCCCTCTCTCCCTTTATATTCCCCAGATTCTCTCTCTCCATTGCTAGAAACCTGCTCTTACTCATATGTACATGCTCTCGCAGCCTCATTCTCTCTCTCTCTAAGATCTCTCTTTCTTCTTAAGTTGATTGGGTTTTCCTCTCACCCTGCTCACAACTTCTCTCTCTAAACCCTCGTTCATCTTAGGATGACTGGGCTTTTTCTTTTATTTCTATTTTATTTTTAGAATAACAAGATCTGATTAGGATCCTAAATAAATACAAGCAAGATCATCAAGACCATTCATGAAAATCAAGCTCAAGTTGTGATCAAGTTTTTATTTTTCTGTCAGCTGCAGAAAAATCAATGCTTTTCAGTTGATTCAAGCTCGAGTTCTTGTTACTCTTGCTGCAATTGTTTCTTGAATCTTGCATCCAATTTCTGATAATTTTTTGAATCTTTTTTAAGTGAATCAATAAATTTACACCAAAAGCAGATTATTAATATAATTCTCGCTGCTGATTTTTTCAGCAGAGAAATCAGCGATTATTTGATAATTTGATCATGATTTAGAGATCATTATTTCTGCTAATTGTATCTAAAACATGTATCCATGTCTAGAGAAAGCATTTGATTAATTTAGATCAAATAACATGATAAATCTACATCAAGATAGGATGAATTCTCTGCTATTTTAGAAGCAGAGAAAACAGCAGCATGATTCTGTATTTTTGGTCGAATTTTTGCATGAAAATCATCATGCTTAAAGGCGTTCTTGTTCATAAATCATTAGATTGATGTTCCCAGGATCTAGTTAACCAGTTTGAAAGAGTTTAGATCTATATAATGATCAAATTCGATCGAACATGTTTCTGGTTTTTCAGTAGCAGCACCAGCATCCTTCTTGTGATTTGATCATGATTTCACATGAAATTCATCATGCATATATGTGGTACCTGTTGATCAAACATTTGATAAATATTGTTGGATATTATTGATCCATTTTGGAAAGATTTTTAGATCAGTTTTTGCATTAAAAAAGATCAATATGCTGCTGATTTTGTATCATCAGTGTCAAAGACAGCAGAATAAAATATTTTTAAAAATTATTATTATTTATTACCATAGAATAACATATTTTTAGATCACGTGATCAACTGGTTCGGATGTTTTGATCCAATAGTGTTCCATAAACTCTTGAATACTTAATCATGTTTTGATTGATTCCATGGAGTTTTGATGAATCAAAAAGTCAAAAACGAGAATCCCACGCTGCTGAATTTTTGCATCAGCATCAATAACTTTCTCTCCCTTTCTCTAGCTATCTCTTTCTTTCTCTCCTTTGGGTTTGTGTTTCTGTAGATTATTGATTTGCATGCATATTTTATATGTATAATGTCTATCTTTAATGGTGAGAGAGAGTACAATTAGGTACAAATTAAATACTTGCCTAATAAGGAAAATCGACAAACTCTGATTTCCTTTTTAGCCAAATAGAGATTTCGAATCTAAGAAAAGCATAAACTATACAATAATATATAATCCAAATATATGATAAGCCGGCAATACTTTTATTCAGATTTCCCAAAAATTGAATATTCAGATTTTGTTTTGCTAAGCGTGTGTAATGTATGCTATATAGTACCATAGTAAATTAGTAAATTTGTACTTTACAGAAGTATTACTATATATTATATATCACATAGTATTTTATAGTACCACAGTAAATTAATAACATATTATAAGGCTATGGTGCTATCATATTAGTAGTATAATCTATACCACTACTACATAGTACTTAGGTAGAGCGGAGGGGTAGATGATGAGTCTCTACTCTCTCTCTCTCCTATACTCTCCCTAATTTTATATAATACTATTATCTCTACTAAATATTATACAGAAAGAGAGCGATTGGTAGATGATCTCTACTCTCTCCAACTTTCCACTTGCTTTTTATATCTATACAATTATATATAATATAATATATAATATATATTATACATATAAGACACATATATACTAACCACCTCTCCTCCCCCTCTCTCTCCTTTTTTGGGGTGCCTAAGTCATGAGGCAGTCACCTCCGCTTTTTTAACATTGCTCTTGATCACACAATCTCCCAGTAAAAGTGCACATCTCCCTCAAATACCTAGGCCATGAGAAGACAACTGAGATAAGGTTCAAGGGAAGGGACAAGGACGTGTCTTATACTAGCCACCCCTCCCTCTCCTTTTTTGGGTTGCCTAAGTCATGAGAAGGTTATCTCCGCCTTTTTTAACATTGCTCTTGATCACACAATATCCCATTAAAAGTGCACATCTCCCTCAAGAAGACAAGTGAGATAAGGTTCAAGGGAAGTGAAAAGGAGAGATCCAGGTGTATAGTCCTTCCAGTGAGGAGCTTACTAGGTCACATTACTGTGGTGTGTATAGGATGTTGTCGGCAGAAAAGGAAGAGACCATCTGACTAACATGGGCACTATGGTTCTGTCGACCCAAGGATTAGGGAGCGAGTTGCATTTTATGAGGAATATATTTGTAAGATAGGAAGTTTAATGTTACTCAGTCCATAAGAAGATGTAATTGCATAAAAACGTTCATTATGATGTCCCCTCTGAGGAGGATAATGGGGTGATAGATGCAACTACAGCTTTCATTTAAAATTATATTCTACAAATAAGGCGAGGGACCAAGGATGGTGGCCTCACATGTGACAATATTCTGGAACAACAGGTTTGTTTTAGCAAAAAACTTCGAGGAGATGACGGGTACAGGTAATTTTTGTATAGGGTAGATATAAAATAAGGAGCTGAATGATTTTACTGTGGCATTTCTTTCAGAAGTATTGGGCTGCTGTCATGGGTGCCCTCATGAAGACTTTCCATGAGTTTTCCATTAGGGTGTGAACTAGTAGGAAATTGTAGCAATATTCACAATCTTAGTGCCAAAAGCTGAGAGGTCAGAGGACCATGAACACTCTAGCCAATAGATTTCGTAGGCTGGCCAAAGTCGAAGAGTTGATCTCTCACCTCAAAAGGTGCTTGCGCAAAAAACCAGAAGATCTTGAATAGCATTCTAATGGCACACACATGCTTGAAAGTGCTGGTGTACATCTTGGGTAGAAATTTCATCATCATCAGAATCATCCAAGCCTTGCCCCAATTATTTGGGGTCAGCTACATGAATCTTGTTCCTCCTTTCATACTCTCAGTAAGACAATATAGATTCAGGTCTTCAGGACACATGATAAGATGTAACAAAATTTTATGTTGGCTAGGTAGAAATTTCATGGTACTTAAATGCTCACTATCATCTAGGCAGGGACAGGTAGATACGAGGCCAATTAAAATGTTACTTGGGGCTTTCTTGGCCGTTTTCTAGGGGACTTGATGTATGTTGGAAAACAGATATAGATGACACCTTGAGTCTCCACCATCTGCTTATCTATACGAGTGAATGCGACTTCAAATGGAGACTGATACATGAGGACCGGCTAATAGTAGTTGGTTTTGCTATCGTCATAGAACTCTTCATCTACAAGACCAATATGATGGCAAATACAGGGTTGATTTGAAGATATGAGTTTGCTGAAATACTTCCGTGGTGTTGAAGTGGACAAGACTGCTGTAAACTTATACTTTTCCAGTATAAGTATTCCTTAGACATGTTTTCTCATAGTAGCATGAAGGATTGCAAACCCGCAATGACTCCTGCACCTATTCTTCAGAGACTAAAGGAGAAGAGGGTGAACCTGTTTCTGATCCACAACAATATGACACTAGTATTAGTTCCCTCCAGTACCCGACACTCACGCAATCTGACATTGTTTTCACAGTGAAATAGGTTTCCCAGTTAATACATGCACCATATTCTATTATTTTTGGAGGCAGTGAAATGCATACTTCAATAGAAGTACTAGTAATGACATGATGTATACAAAAGAAGCTTCCTTTAATCCTCTCATTGTCATTGCCTACGCTGATGCACATTGGGCTAGATACCCAGAATCTTATTGTTCCATATCTAGTTGTGGTGTGTTTTTGGGACAAAACTTTGTTTCATGGAGTAATGAAAACAAAAGGAATTGTGGCTATATCGAGCATAGGGCCAGAATATAGGTCCATAGCAGCAATGTAGTTGCTTGGGGAGTGCAGGCAGTAGTGGGAGTGGGAGGCGACACATTCAGGAAGCTCCCCAGGTCAGGAGCGAATTCCGTACAATTTTTAATTTAATTAAATAAATATTAGAAATTTTATTAAAATTAAAAAATTATTTAATCTCTCAAAATATAATAAAAAATCCGCACAAAAAAAGGACAATTAAAAAGGTAATAAAATGTAATTCTTTATTAGTTAAATTTTCTGATTCATAATCAATAATTTTCTATTTCTTTGAGTTGTAGTATATGTAACAATAATCCCACAAAATACATTAAAAAAATATCAGGATGAGGCACATCGGGATAAGGATAACTACACAAAGTCGCTGATTTTTTTAATAAAAATCCGATTTATTTACAATTTCATACTGTCAACATCCAAAAGCATATCAAGCTGCTTTATTTGCAATTTTACACTTCACAACATGCAAAAGCATTAGAGACAGAGCATTATTGCAACTAAGATCTAAATGAATAATCTTCTTGACCTCTTACTGACACTTCGAGTGGCTAGGAGTGATCAAATTCGAGATCGCAAAAAGTGGGGATTGAGATCACATGGAGATTTCCATCCAGGAGCACTGAAGCAAGATAATGGAGTGACATCTAATTTAGGAGATCCCAGTAATTTTGGGCAGAAAGTACTGCCGAAATTTTTTGGAGTCAGACATCTGCTAATAATACTTGGTCAGAATATCTCTAGATTGCTCTTTCATTTTAATAACATAATGCCATTTCGATTCTCTCAATTCAGTACATTTCAGGAAAATGAAGCAGATTGATTGATAAACACTTTGTGACAGAGAAAGTGAAGATCAAGAAATTGAGGCGAGATTCATTTGTACGGATAATCAAATCGTGATATCTGCACCAAGGAGCTCAAACGGATTCGACATTGATTTCTTAAAGCCAAGTTGTCCATGGTAGAAACCACAACATAGCTTGCTGGGGCTAATAGCAATATAATACATGGGCTTTGTTCTAGTATTTGTTGTTCATATATGTGTATTCATGTAAGGACCCGGTTTCTATGCGGCCAAGCCCCCATATGTAGAAATGCGGGCCTATTAATAACTCTATTTTTGAGGTGGATTTTTTTACTTAACTTTTAAGGACATGTAATCTCTAACATGGAGATCATGAATATGAAAAAATAAGTAAAATTTAAAAATTAAAAATAATACTTGTAGTAAGAAAACATTTGGACCATTAGTTTCTATTGTTTTAAAATGGAACACCTACTTGCATCCATCTTTAAGATGGATGCTTTACACTTTTTAGACCGCATATGTAGTCATACGTTCCAGCCCACATAAAACAATTTTCCTTCATGTAATATGTTGTAATATCTCATGTACATGAAGGGCATAACAGTGTATGTATAGTGTATGTATGTGTGTGTGTATTTCAAGGCTACACCAATCTATTGGTGAATATGCCTTTTCTAAATAAATTTCCAAACAATTTATTCCTAATGTACTCTTTTGATTTATGAGGGCATTTTGTGGTCAAAACTTGGTCAGCAGGAAACTCAATATTCGCCCTTAAGGTGGTGTAACCAAGAATAACTGCACACAGATGCGCACGCGCGCACACACACAGAGACCACACACAAGCACACATACATAAATATAATGGGGCCACATATAATGTCTCACTTTTCTTCTTCTTCATTTGATAACATTGTCACAGCCACAACTTCACAGCTTGTGACATTTGACATGTTCAATTGCAAGGAACACAAATTGGTTCATTTTTTCCTACATGTGTCTAGGCATCTACCTGCATGTCAGCTTACATGCTGCAGGCAGAGAAGTGTGGTCAATTTCTGTACCATGGCCATTGTTCCAAATGTCTCTTATATGCATCTGTGTTGTGTTTTATTATCTAGGGGCACTGATATGATTATCACTGTATAGTTGTACTTAGATGAAACTTCTTAAAAAATTTAAATTGTACTTATATGAAAATTCTAGGTCTAAGAAAGGTGATGACCTTAACTTTCCCTTAACTCGTCCCATGCCCGGGTAAAAGGGCTGGGTGGTGTTAGGTAGGCAGCCAACGTAAAAGTTTGCCAAAACTTATCATGAATCCTGAACCGACAATATCTGATGATGATGAAAATTCTATAAAATTTTAAAACAAATATTAACAGTAAATAATCGTGGAGAACATACTAACCAGCATACCCGTGGAAGCACCTACAATGTCCCAAATCCTGATTACAAATGCCTTGACCATTACAATCATTGTTGCAGCGCTTCCCCCCAATTGTCTACCAACAAAATCAATAATTTCATGAGCGTGAATAAATAATTGGTTACAATAGAGAAAACACCAGAACAATGGATTATGATTCTATGCATCACCATATATGGCCTAACTGTTAGCATCGCATAATTAGTAAAGGTCATAGATCCTATTAAATAAGTGGTAGGCGCCATTGAATACTACTCTATAAATCCCTAGTTACCACAGCTTCTATAAAACTAATTAAGAAAGAATACAAGTTCATATACTGCAGTTGACTTGATCAGCTGATGAACACCACAATTAAAACTTCATCAGCCATAATGCATAGATAGGAAATAAGAAAGAGCAAATGCATGCCTTTTTCCCCTTATAACAGACATATTTGACTTATGTAAAATTTCAACAGCCATGTATTCGAATATGCCACGACTTATCGGAAGTAATACATAAAAACACATAATCATTAGAAGAAAATCTGAACTGGAGCAATTACTGAATATAGATCAAACATATAACAGAAACAAATCAGATCTCCCACCATGCCACCCCACACTGGAAAAAGAAGCCAACCTAACATAATGGGAGAAAAAAAAAGAGGAAGGCAAAAAAACACAAAATTGTAGCTTCAAAACACAAATATGTATCCTCTGAGGTCCACCTTATGTGTTCAAATTGATACCAAGGTCAATGCATGCATAAGTAGCAAGAAAAGATGCAGAAAAGAGACGCAAATAGTATATAGTTCATCTAACACATACTCAGTAAGAAGGGGAAATTTATCAAAATACACCGAAGAAATTAATTATTTAACATTCCATCCATTCGTCACTTAAATGCCATCCATTTGTCACTATTCAATTCAAGATGACGTGCTTTTTCGTGGGTATTTTGAAATTAAAGCAAAAGTTATGGGCAGTTCAATTGTTAATCTCTTGTGGGTAACTTGATAAATTTCCCAAAAAGAAAAGGACTATAATAAGATAACAAATAAAAAAAGATATCTATAGCAGAGTAATTAAGGACATGATTATCAGCAATCAAAAACTGTCAAAAACTTTACCAACGAAAAGCCTAAGCATTGCTACCTGCTAAAACTAAAAGAGTAGAATTCAATATTGAGACACTCGAATGTCAACTATTGAACAGGCTGTCGGTTTAAGAGGCGCGTCCTTAGAACAAGATATAACTATAAAACACTGAGAATGTCTTCTTTACAGCCCGTGTTGACATCAACATTGTGGATATTGAATCACAACAAGAAAGCCACATTCCAATTTCACTCTTTCATGGGGCAAACTGAGAGCTCATGGCACCACGAGAATATGACATGACAGTAAATTCAGCAAACTCAGCATTCCATAAAAGATCATCATTTTTTTCCTTTTTGAAATGTTGACTGTCCCTATAGAATCATTAATTTGTAACATAAATCGAACAACAAAAGAAAAATAAAGGAACCCAAGGAACAAGAACATATGGATGACTGAAACAGCACCCCTAGCGACACACTTGCTGCCCCAAGGGACCATGAGCATTGCCAGTTCTGAACAAGCAACATATTTCAACACATCCTAATTTCACAAAAGAAATACATATTTCCGCAAACCCAATCCAAACCCTCTAAAGGCCTGAAGAGGACATCATCAGAAGTGCAGTAGTACAGGATATCCGAAAAAGCAAAGAGGAATAGTGGAGTTGGATTATTTCCTACAACCCTTAAAATCGACAGAATTAGGGAATATACAACCATATGTGTGTGGTATTCTGTCAAAAGAAGAACACAAAATTGCTGGAAAACATAGGAATTGAAGGCATGTGCTCTATGTAAAAAACGATACATGTAGAGGAGGAAGCAGCAAATGGATTAATCCCCCTCGTTTTCAAAGAAACATGCAATTGTTCAACAATGTTCTCACCTTATTCAAAAAAGAAAAATAGCAGAACAAAGGCAGCCCAAAGATGTAGAGCAATATACAGAAAAGCCAGTACAAAAACCCTGAAGAATTAGGTCAACATGGCCTAGTAGGAAAGAATTGTGTATTATTGAACAGGCTGCAATGTGTCAGACATCTGTGCACAGGAGCACCACCATATTACAGGATTCTAGAATCTGACTCTAGAATTATGATGAACCACTCAGTCAAAAAAGATACATGGTTCTAGAATTATGATGAACCATCCAGTCTTGGTCACAAAGGTTGGAAGCTCAGGACCAGTTTGTACACTCATAGCGCATGTGATTTTATACCACCAAAAAACATCAAGTTTTGAAACAGGAAGGAGAATTCAACTGATATTACTGGGCATTGTTGGACAAATAGTATCAGCACCAGCGGAGAAGAATAATTGGGGTCCCTTGGTAGTTTGCAAGCATTTCTCTCCTTTTTATTCGTTCACTTGGTCTATAACTTCCACTTTTAAGGTAATGAGTCGCAGATTAATGGTGAAACTCTTGTGAACTCATGTAGGTTCAACTTTATTGCAACAACTGACTGGGTTAATGCCCTGCATTCAAAACTCATAATAAATAGGTATAATTCTCATCCCATTGGCCTAAAACTTCCACTTTAATGATAATAAGCCCAGGATTAATGGTGAAACTCTCCTTAACTCTTGAAGCTTTGTGGATGTCCTAGACTCAAAACTCTTTGGTCAATTAACATGAATATGATCCACAGGGAAAAGAAAATTTCCATATACAATAGAAAGGAAAACAAAAGAAAACACAATAAACTCACCCCTACATCTTCTAATACCAAGTTCATCATATGCATAATTACCATTTAGCAGGTGAAGAAAAAAGAAACAAAAACAAACATATTAAAAAAAAAATTGAAAATTATCGTGTCCAAGTTTGTCTAAAACCTATACAGAAAAGAAATAAAAACAACCGGTAATTTAAGAAATATAAAAACCACACATTGTGCCAAAGCAACACATGGCTCAATTAACAGAAAACAAAATTAATAAAAAGGGTCAGCCCAAATTTTTAGAAATTCTAATCATATGCTAAAATTGAAAAAAAAGAAAAAAAAAAGGTCTAATATCTAGATGCTTATGCGAATCTAATTTTCCATAAGTCTGAAGATTTGATAACCTTTTTATCGAATATTTAAATAATAACCATGAATAAACGTGGAAGAAAAACAAATTTTAAAAACAAACACAAGCATCATTTCTTTTTACTTCATGCTATACCTCATTGACGTAAACCGCCATCGCTATTGAATCACACCCAGAAAACCATCTTCCAATTTCGCTCTTCCAAGGTGCACCTTTGTAGCTTACAGCTCCGTGAGAATCCGGCATAACATTAAAATCAGGAAAACTAGAATTTCCCACTGATACATCATGTGTACTATTGACTGAAACATAACTAGCATTACTTGAAACGTGTGTACCGCCGATCGGAACATGTGTATCATTGATTGAAGGACAATAATTACGCCCTTGCTGCCCATTAAAGAATTCAAAAGAGGAAGGAACCAGAGGGAATAAGAACATATGGATAACTGAAACTAATACAACTAAGGAAACAATGGATGCCACAAGGGACCAAGAACATCGCCATTTTTGAAGCGGCAACATATTTTTAGAAATACCTCCTGTCAAAACTCCCTGTAAACCAAGAGAACACATACAGTAGAGGCTCAACAACAATAGAAATCTAGAAACTACGGATAAAAAAGAATTGAGCTGGATTAATTCTACTCAAAACCTTCAGAAAACAGAGAATTGACAAGTTTTACAATCAATTCTCCATGTTCTGCTAGAGAATAGAGAGTGAATTGTTAGAGGCATATGCTCCATCGAAAACCCCAGAATTGCAGAGATGGAAAAATAATGGAACTGGACCAATCCCCCTTGGGTTCAGAGAAGCATAACATTACCATTTTTCATAATTACAGCGGTATATAAAATTAGTTACCACGCTTTCCAAGAAACCAGGGATACAGGGAATATACACAGGACACAGAGACCAGAAACCCTAAAAAAATTGGTCAACCGAAGCCACCATGGCCACAACGGGAACGTTCCTTGTTTGAATAAACTAAGGGCCTGAAACGTGCCATACACCTGTACGCTCAATCACCGTTTTTACAAAAATCTCGATTCCAAAATTTATCGGTAAACCCTGGAATAACCGGAGGAACCAAGCGAACACATGGCCCAATAGAACAGAATCATGAGAAGCCATTAAAGACGGTCAAGGTCAAGGTCAAGAACATGGAATCCAAAATGCGAACCATTAAACCTTACAATTACCACGCAGAATAAATTGATATTAATTAAAGCCATTAGAGAGGGTCTAGGCCATAAATGGTTGAAAAAGCTCGAAGATTCTGAGCAAAATATCAAGGGGAAAATGGAATAAAACAAAAATTCAGTAATCAAAGCCTGCAACTTTCTGTCACCGATGGACCCGTCACTGTCCGCTCAAGCAAAATGGATTTCGCGCCGAAATTTCGGAGGATAAAATTTTGGCCGAAATTAAGTTTTCCGAAGGTAAAAGTACCATCTTGATGTAACTGGATTGAAAAACCTACAATAACTCGGTGTCAACCTTATACTGTTGGAGTGAGGTAGAGAAGGTTGTTCCTATATTGGAAAAGCCTTAAATCTATCATCTCAATCCAGATTCATAGACATGACAAAAAAGATGTTTTTAGTCTTAAAAATAGTTAATCTTCTGACACATTATATGGACAATCTATTTTCATGATTTTCAAGTGTTTATATATCTGTTTGATGTTATGAAACTTTAAATTTTAAAGGAAAAAGTTTATATAAAGATGAGGTTCTAAACAATCAAATTTAAATCTACTTCAAAAAGTTCACTATAATAGGTTGTTTTTATGCTTAAATATCTTCAAATTGATCATCTCGACATCAAGATCCATAAACATGAGAAAAAAAATGGATTACAAGTTTTTGAAATAGCGTATTTTACAACGCATTTTTTTACCGTCAATTTTCAAGATATGCAAGTTTTGATAGATATGTCCATCTACATTATTTTTGAAACTTTAAACTTTATAAATAAATATGAAACTATATGTTAAGGCTATCACAAAGGTTTCCAATATTGAAACCATATCTCTCGACACTATTTGAAGGTAGGCTCTAATTTTATCGTTTAGAGCCTACGCTCCGTACAAATCGCACCCAATTTTTAATTAGGGACAACAAAAAATTTTCATATCAGACATTGTGGCACCAAAATTGCATTTTCGAGATAGTTATGAGGTGCACCTTACTTCAATAACATAAGGTCAAACCTCACCCTTCTTTCAAATAGGGTTTAGTTAGCCGCCGGCAACATGGGCAATGGGGTTTTTACCTATGGATGCATATAGCATACTTCAAAGTTAGCCGCGGGAGTATACTATACAACAACACTCTCAGACTGAATTGTTTACGAGGAGGACTCTATTATTCTGAATGTTGGGATCCACCTGAGTATTAATATATGATTAGCTTAAAAAATAATTTGAATTTTGAGTTCTTTAGCATCTAGATCATTTGTTAAAAAATTGGACAATTCTTCAGCGATCTTAGGACGTCATTTTTTTTAGGGACATAGAGTGTGGTTATTATTTTATTTTTTTTGTTCTTTGATGTTGGTCATTGAATTATCTACTCTATAATAAACGAGAGGAAACACACTCGTTATTTTTGCACCATGTCTATTTTTCTAATTTTTTAGAACAATATTTACTTATAAGTAAATATATATTTTATAACATAATTAAAGATAATATCAGTTATTTCAGAAAATAATAAAATAGAAAAATAAAAAGAATAGAAAAATAACTATGTACTTATATTATTAAATGTACAAAATAAAAAGAGAATTCCTTGTCTATTCTATTTTTAAAATTTTCAGTGTTAAACATAACTACTAAAAAATATATGAAAATATGTAACAGATACAAAAGTAATTTCCATTGATGACGCAAATAGAATGCAAATGAACAAGCTCAAGTCTCGTGTAAATTTATGTATTTTTATTTTTTTTATAATTTTAAAATAATATTTATTTATAATTAAATAATTTGTTTGTTAAATTATTTTAAATTAATTTTAATTTAAAATAAAAATATAAAACATAAATGTAATTAACCAAAAATATGAAAATCAAAAATATAATTCCCTCTATATTTTTCTTTTTTGCATTTATAGTTACTCTGGTTTTTTAAATAGTAGTTACTTATAAGTAAACAATACATTTACTAATACAAATAAAAACATTTCATTTATATTAGTGAATCATATAATTGAATATATAAAAAAATGAAATCATAATAATAATTAACTCTAAATGCAAAATAAATATGTAAATAATGTAATTAAAATTATTTTGTAATAAATAATTGCGTCAAAAAGCAAGCCACATATATAATTATTATCATATTTGGAAGTTTATATGATATGTTTTTGTATTTTATTTTTTAAAATTATTTATAATGATATTTAAATTATTATCTAATAGAAGCCTCTATGTAATGACGGATCCAACAAATTCTCTCTCTTTCTATAACTCTCTATAATCCAATATGATTATTTAAGATTAACATTTTAAACTTGTAATTATCTTACTATTTATTTGAATAATTACTATTATTAACTATTTATTGTTAACTAGTTATAAATAGAGATATATTTTTCGCAGCAATTTTAAATCTCTCTTAAAATCTCTCAAAGTACATAGATATACTCTTTCTAATCCTAAAATATCTAATAAATGAAATACCTCTCTCTATCCTATAAAAATAGGACTGTTTTTATTTAGAAGTAGAAAGATACCCTACATGATACCAAATTTCTCTATTTGAAGGTTACATGGCCTGCATCATCTCTAATAATAGGATCAGCTTTTTAATCTTGCAACATATATCGAACCCTTAAGTTAATATAAATAAAATTGTTACATAACAAATGAAATACCTAGATAACAATAAATTAATACTTTTGTAGTTCTTTCAATAATATAGTGTGTTGTATTTTGTGAAACTTAGATGCTTACAAGTATAGATGATCCCTTTGAAATGAGAATCTTGTGATAAAACCAACATGACCTTTAACATGCTTATCCCATGATTAACAGCATGATTTTCATATTGATTGTTGTGTATAAGCTCCACATTATCATGCAATAGTATTTTAAATATGTGTCGTACATTCGAAATATTAAAGCTTTGAGACATTATAGTAGATTGAGGAAGGGATAAGTATTTAATATATTTATTTAGATTATTCTAGCGCTAAGTTATATATTTAGCTATTTTTTAGTGCTTAATTTAATGTCTTTAAAAAGTGCAATTGAGTTTAAATATGAGTTATATTTAAACATTATTTTGAGTAACGTGTGCTATCTTGTTTATCATTATGAAGATAAACATAATTATAATTATAATAAATAACAAATTAAATTTAAATGTGAATAATTTATTCCTATTAGAATATTATATTTATAATTTCTCCTTGATTGCCTCAAGTAAAGTACGATTTCTATACACATATATTTTTATAATAATTATAAATATTATATATTGCTAAAAATCATATATATTTTTCCGAATCTTATAATTATAATTAATTTTGATCCCCGAAAGGCAATTCAAAAAATAAAATAAAATGAAAACCCTGGTTGCTAAGTGAAAGAAAGAAAAATATATAATATTAACTTTATAAATATTTTATTAAAATTATCTTTCAATGATAAATATGTTTCAATGATTAATAATAAATATCACGTGCAACAAGTGTCCATATTACTAGTAAATATTACATTTCCAAAATTTGGATTCTAAAAACTATTCCTAGGATGAGTTTGTTCGACACAGTATATGCACAGTCCGCTCCGGTGGCAGTAGGAAATCGATTGGCATGAACTATGGTGTGGGACCATTGGGACCATGGTTTCAAGTTTACAGCTGTCAAACCCTTGACTGGCCTTATAATTTTTGCTGCACAGTGCCAAATTAAATTTCCATCGTAGATCCTTTAGGGCAAAAAATAAATAAAAGAAAAAGAAATACCTCTAAACACTTGGGGACGCCCCTAAAGTCTCCCATCTCCTCCATCCCATCAATTCAACCAAAATTAATATGGAAAAAGTTAATATAGAGCCGAGGCTCTAAATGATCATATTAGAGCCCACCTCAAAAATTTAATTAAAAGAGGCTATTTTAATGCCCAAATATCATCAACTCGATCATTTCAATATGAGAAAGAAATGGATTTAAAGTAGATTTTCAAGGTTTCACATATCTATTCGATCTACACTGATTTTGAAGCTTTAAATTTTATAACTAAAGATGAAAATCTATTTTAAACCATATTTCGTGATACTATTTGAAGGTGTGTTCTACTTTGATTGTTTAGAACTCAACTCTATTCAAACTGCACCCAGTTAATATCAGGGAAAATTTTAAATAAAGTATTATTTAAATGTGATCCCTTCCATAAGATTATTTTAAGAAATAAAATTATATAATGGTGAGGCCTTAAACAATCACATTAAAGTGCACCCAAAATTTCACTAGAAGAGGCTGTTTCGATGCTCAAAAATCTTCAAATCAATCATTTTGCCCTCGAGATGTATATAAACATGAGAAGAAATGGATTTTAAGTATTGAAAATAGTGTATCTTGTAATGCATTTTTTAACCGTCAATTTTTAATATTTTAAAGTGTTCGTATATCTGTTCGATCCACACTATTTTTGAAGCTTTAAATTTTGTAACTAGGGATAAACATAAATTTCAGGGCATTGTAAATATTCTCCTAAGTGAAATAACATCTTTCAATACTATTTGACCGTGCGTTTAGAGCCTGATCCTTATACAAACCACCCCTTATTTTTAAAGATGGATGGAGGGTCCCAAGCACATTCGAGTTCATTGTAGATGCATTTCAACTTGAGATTAATGATATTGTAGTTCAACACATAGTGTAGATCTAATGACATGTGAAGAATTAAAATGAACAATGATAAACATATAAAAATAATTTAAATAGCCTAATTTGAATATTTGAATTCTATTTTTATTTTAGATTCATGATCATCATAGCTAAGATTATCTATCTGTAAAACAAATTATGTCAAAAATTGATCTCATAGATAGATTTTTGGAAGGGAATGCATTTGAATAGGTGGACAGCTAAAATTGGCCTTCAAAAAATGGCTAATGATTTTGAGTAGAAAAAAATAAGAAAAACTTCGTATAGAACCCTAATTTGTTATATTACTTCAAGCGGCACGAGGAAACCCCTAAAGATTTCACCACACCCCTTCATCCCTTATCTCCCTATTTTATTGACTTTTGAGCATAAAAATTAGCAACTTTTTTAACCATATTTTTCCTTTTTCACCCATTAAAAAGTTTTTATGTTGAAATAATATAAAAATATTTTTCGGGGTTAATTTTTGTGATCAAAAGTCAATAAAAGAGATAAATAAGAGATAATGGGGTATGGTGAAATCTTTATAGATTTCCTCATGCCACTTGAAAGAAAAACGGAATGAGGGTGTTCTACCGTGAAATAATATAAGGAATTAAGGTTCTATATGAAATTTTCCCAAAAAAATATGTCTGCACCATAAATAGAAAGGTTATTACATGGAGGTCCACCTACATGCCTCTTTTTTTCTTTTTCTTTTTTTTTTAAAAAAATATTTCCCTTCAATTCGATGTTTTAAATATTAGACTTCCATTTTAGTTTGTATGTTTACTACTTTTTTTAATTGTAGGGTTGTTTGTCAGTTGGGGATGATTTGGAGTGTGTACGATGTTTTTAATATCGGTTGGGGATAATTTCCACAGTAGTTTTTTGGAAACATGAGACAAAATCATTAGCCATTTCGTTCATTTTAAAGAATGTATAATGTTTGCAATATCGGGCCTAATTTTATGTGATATTAGACAAGTATAACATCAAGCGGCATGCTAAGGGGCGGTCCGATGCTCTGGACATTGGACAGACAACAAAAAAAATAGGCCATGATAACTACTATAGGGCAGTTCAATGTTTCAAACATCAAACTGCCTAACTTTAGGTTAAATTGTCCCTTCGCCTAACGAACAAACCTACACCTAAAAAATATAAAAAGTAAAATGAAAAAGTGTCCTATGTTTTGATCATTGGATTGAGGGGCAATATTGAAAAGAATAAAATAGGGTGTGTGGGGTGGAACTCTGCATAAAATTCACATAAATATTTATTTATGGTATGGATGTAATATTTATTTTTTGTAAAACCTTTCCGCTACTTTTCCAAGGCAGACACCCTATTTGTATTTCTTTTTTTATTTCTAAATAAATTTGAAAAAAAATGCAAAGTTATTGCAAATATTTATATATTTTTTATGATTTTTCTAAAAGCTTTATGTGTATTCAATAATTTCCGAGCAACATCTCAATGTTTGATTGTATAAATCTATAAATACTCTTAATACCATCCAAATCATTATGAAAATAGCGGACCGTTCTATAGATAGTCTCAATACTCTACATTTATTTACTTAGACAAATAGAAATTTTGAAATATTTAAATAAATTGTACCCATAATTTGCTACTTAATGTTGTAGCTTTAACAATATAATTTTACATGATACCCATTTAAAAAGTTTAAATTATGTAAATGAAACTTTTTGTAAGTTTTATTTTTCTTTTGGTAAATACATAAACCCCCAACTATAATATGTTATAGATACAAGGGCAAGCTTTCTATACTTCGCCTACAGCATAAAACTTATATACTTCTCTTTATCCAATCTTTCATTTTGAATGGAGAGCTAAGATTGTCCCAATCACAATGTCACTTCTATACATTATTTTATTTTAAATTTTTTCTATAAACTATTTTGATATCAAATTTTGGATATATTAAACTCGCACTAGTAAAAAATATATATAAAAAAATTCCAATAAAATGAAATGACCAAAACACCTCTAAAATTTCAAGGGATAATTTGGTCATTATAGTTTTTTGAAAAAAAAATTCTAATATTTTTTATAGGTGCGCCCCAATGAGAAGATGACACGTGCAAAATTTCATATTCATACAATTTGTATAAAAAAAAACTAAAAATAAAATACTTTAAGATATCGGATCTAAGATCAAACGGTCAATAGGTCTCTTGATCAAAATTGGATGGCTGGACGGTAAGGGAAGTACTTCCCTAGATACAAATCCCATTAAATTTTCACTCCAAGTCCTTGCCATAATTTTTATTGCGTTAATCCCCTAAGTGAATCTTCAAACCTATTTAGGACAAAAATGCCTATCCATAGTCAACACGGCAAAAATATAATAATTATTTTTCTTTCTTCTCTGTTTATTCATTCTCTTAACACTCTCTCTTCAAACAAGTTTTCCTCTCTTCTTCTCCATCATGTTTGTTCTCTCTGTATCTTGCTATCAAACTAAGCAAGGAAGCTTGGTTTTCTCTCCCTAGAATATGATGAATGAATCACTGTCATGTTTTTTATGAAACTTTCACAATCATCCACCTCTATTTGTTTCCTTTCTCTACCCACCATTGTTTCTCTGACCAAGCTTATGGCCATAGTTTTGAAATTGTGCTATAGATCGAATTCGTAGTCAATTCTATTTTCATTAGGACACACGTACTTGATAATTGAATCCAAAATTTCCCATTATTTATGTATTTGTAATAGTGCGAAAAGATGGTCCGGCTTCGAGTTGTTCTAGAATAATCTTGACCCTTTGATTTTGCATTCTCGAAAAAGTCTAGCTATTTTATCTTGTTTTTAATATATTATTTGGGTGTTTTTTTCATTGAGTTTAATAAGTTGCCTTTGGATATATAAAAGAAAAATGTATGCAAAGTTTATGGGGAGTTAAAAAATGTTAGAACTACAAACGAAAATTCCAATACGAAAGAAAATTTGAAATCGAGATAAAAACAACAGCGAGCTAAATATAGCCAATAGTGAGGTCTTAATAAAGTGTCAACCTTGTACTGTTAAGTAATGTGCACCTCAAAACTATGTTGAAAATGCAGTTCGGTGCTGTAAAACCTTGCGATAATATGAAAATCTATTGTTGTCCCCAATTATAAAATTTAAAGTCCCAAACATGGAGACAATCAATCAAATTTATAAATACTTGAAAATCCAGACAATAAGTAGTCCACATAATGTGTTTTTTTGGAGTAAAAATCCTTTTATATATATATATATATATATGAGTCTCGAGGTTGAGATGATCGATTTGAGAGTGTTTCAGCATAAGAACAATCTTCTCTGCTCGATTTTTTAAGTGCACCTTACTTGTAGGTATAAAGTTCACACCTTATATAAACTTATTCCATAATAAAACCCAAAAACAAACTGAATAAGTAAAATTGTAATCTTATATCAAGTTAAAAATAACAAAAAAGAAACTGAATAAGGATAATTGAAATCTTATAAGACGTGGTTTCTATAAGGTTTCAACCTTTTCAAGGTGCACCAACAACTTCTATCATAACATGTAATTTTGTTGTATATTTTTTTATGATTATCTAATATATATTTGTATATGAGATTATAAAATTTTAAATTTAAATAATAATTAAAATCATCTATAAAAATGTAAAAATATTAAAAATTTGAAATCTTTTTTCTTTTCATATTCATACACCCGGACATCAAGAATGATAAGAGTTTTCCAAGATCCAAATAACCTCGTATAAACTTTTTCAGTTCAAAAAAAATGGTGAGTTCAAAATCTAACAAAAACCCCTTCAAATGAAAGCACAAAACCCCTTAGAAATGAGTGTACGTCATTTGGTGCGGGTTAAGGAAGAAGAAACATGGCACCCCAACCTGAGAAAGAACCAGAACACAACTGTAGCCATCGCGGTCGTCATCTTCTAGGGTTTCATGAACTTCTCTTTCTAAATCCTAAAGCCCCATCCATCTTCGCTTCACTGGACCAAGTGGAAAGAAACCATCATTCTCTCTCTAAAACCCTAGAAACAATATGATCCGCTCAATCTCTCTACTCCATAGCCATGTTCTCAGCTTACACAAGGCGTGGCCTCCTCTTAAAGACCAGGACCCCACCATCCATTTTCAGAGCCCTCTCCCTCTCCCCTCCGTCGCCCTTGAGGTCCCCTCATGGCCAAGCCCTATCTCTAGTCAATGTGAAGGACGTGGCTTCCTCCTTTAAAGACTGGTTCTTGGAGAGGAGACGTAGGTACCCTCCCAGTCTCACCCATGAAACGCTAACTTTAACCTTAAACCATGATGTTCAGAGAATTTGCGAGGTCTTATCAAGAGGTGACTGTGGCTCTGAGACAGAGGCTGCTCTCTCTGACCTCCATGTTCGATTGACTGATGAATGTGTAGTTAGGGTTTTAAAGTTGCAGAAAGATGTGCTTCCTTCTTTGAAGTTCTTCGATTGGGCAGGTAGGCAAGCAGGGTATCGCCATACCGGAGCAGCCTTCCATGCAATATTTAAGATGCTTTCCAGGGCTAAGTTGATGACTGTGATGCTTGATTGGTTAGAAACTTTCACAAAGCAGAGGAGTGTTTACACATTTAGGCTTCATGACACTCTAGTGATTGGCTATGCAGTAGCTGGAAAGCCTGAGATAGCGTTGCAGATTTTTGGAAAGATGAGGTTTCAGGGGCTGGATTTAGATGGGTTTGCATACAATGTTTTGTTGAATGGATTGGTTGAAGATAACTGTTTTGATGCAGAGGATATAATAGCAAAACAGATTGAGATGAGGGGCTTTAGAAATGGTATCACTTTTTGCATAAGTATGAAGAGTCTTTGTAAGCAGAATCGCTTGGACGAGGCCATGAATCTTCTTCTTGAGCTGTTGAGGAATGGAAATGATGTAAATGAATATATGCTTACAATTACTGTTGATGCACTCTGCAGGCAGAGGAGATTTGTTGAAGTTGAAGGATTAATGGAGGAATTCAGAGATTCTGGTAAGATTTCCATGTCCAATGCTTATAATACTTGGATTACCCATCTTGTAGAGACTGGTAGCATAGATAGTGCAATGGAATTATTTCATGATGAAAAAAATGTTGGGTTTTTCTCCCCTTGGCTACGTTGTTATACTGTGTTGATCACTGGTCTATTGAGAAAGGATAGGCTCGAAGAAATATACGATTTGCTTGTAGAGATGCGGCTTAGGGGTATCTTTGCTGACAGGAATACCATGAATGCAACTGTTTGTTTCTTTTGTAAGGCTGGTATGGTAGATGTGGCAATCGAATTATACAATGACAGGTTAGAGATGGGGTTTTGCCCAAGTTACTTGGCCTATAACTCTCTTATAAACGCTCTTTGTAGAGATTGGAGAGTCGATGAGGCATTTAGGGTTTTGGAGGATGGGTTGCAGGGTAATTACTTTCCTGGAAAGAAGACATTCTTTATTCTTGCAGATGCTTTGTATAGGAGTGGGGATTTGGACAAGATGGGCAAGTTGGTTGATGCAGCAATCGAAAGGAACTTCTTACCTAGTAATGCTATTTGTGTTAGATACATCTCTGCTCTTTGCAAGGCTGGTAGAGTAGACGAGGGGTACTTGCTTCCTGCTAAATTGAACAAGCCTGATATGTTTCTAAGGAGATCGACTTACTTTGATTTGATATATGGGTTCTGTGAGAAAAAGAGAGGAGATATAGCATCTAGGTTGCTACTTGAGATGAGAGAAAATGGTCACTCGCCTTCTCGTAGTCTTTATAGAGTGGTCATCAGTTGCCTTTGTGATATGGGTCATATAGAGCAGGTTCTTAATTTGCTAGAAATGCATGTCAATGGCAATTTGTCGGACAGTGAGGTTGAAAATGAAATTTACAACCACTTTATAGATGCGGCGGGCCATGCAGGACAGCCGGAATTGGCAAGGAAAGTGTTTGAAAAGATGGTAGAAGACGGTTTGAGACCCAATATTCATACCAACATTCTCATGCTTCATAGTTATTTAAAGAGCAAACGTATTGTGACTGCCTTGAATTCCTTTAGGGAGTTGTGTGAGTGTCTGGAACCTAGCACCAAGCTCTACAATGTCATTATTGTAGGGCTCTGTCGGGCGGACAAAACTGAGCTTGCACTGGCACTATGGAGGGATGCCAGGGAAAGGGGCTTGATTCCAAGCCTCACTTGCTATGAGGAGCTTGTACATATGCTATGTTGCTCGGAGAATTATGAAATGGTGATAAAGGTTGTTAAGGACTTTGAGGAGACGGGTCGTCATGTTTCTATCTACATGTACAACATACTTTTATGCCACATTTTGAAATCCCAAGAGTTAATCAAGGCATGGCTTCGTTCAGGAGTTGATGGTTCTCAATCAGGCAATTCAGTGTTGGGTCGGCTAGTTGGGGCATTTCCTAACATACAGAGCCTGGAAGATCATCTTCAAAACTTTGAAGAGTTGATTGAAAGGCGAATACATGCTAACATTGTGACATATAATGTGGTGCTGAGAAGTCTTTGTAAGGCAGGGAGAGTGGAAGCTGCCTGTACTTTATTCAGCATAATGTGTAGAAATGGCAAAAAAGGGTGTGAGCCTAATCCATGGACTTATGACATTGTGGTTCATGGTCTCTGCAAAGTGGGGAGGTTGAGAGACGCAAAGTTTTTTATGGAGAAAATGTTTGAGATGAACTTTTACCCAACCAAGGGGACGATTGATTTGTACAGGTTTTTGGCAACCAGAGGGCAGCGAGTGCAGCAATAGCATAGCTCAAGCTTCCGGCAGATTTTTTGTTGTTTTTGAATTAACCTGCTCTCTGTGTTCGATAAAACCTAAAGAGTATGTAATGTTACATTGAGATGGTCACATGATTCAAATTTTGATTTTTTTCACCTTAATTTATTACTTCAATAAAACAAAATTACCTATGAAGCTTGAGAATAAGTGATTTGTTTTTGTAAATTCATTTTGCTTATATTTAAGAGTATTGGTGTTTATAAATAACAATATTAAAGTCCATTAACTCCATTAAGAAAGGGTATGGGTTTTTTTTTTGATAACTATTAAGAAAGGGTATGGATTGGACATTATTTTTCTTTACATGAACTATAAAGTACAATTAGCTTAAACATTCTCTCCCTCTTCTTTTTTTTAAGTAAAGTTTACTTTTATATTGCTATGAGAGTAATATGAAACAGAAGAGGGATTCGAGAGTACCCACAAGTTGGGTCTCTTGATAAAAATAAGGTCAAAAGACCTTTTACAAAATATTGGGGCTTATAGACTTGCCCGATTACAAGAAATTTACTGAACCATGAGTAAACAAGGGTGTGCCCACATTGGTCCAGAGCAAAAAAGGAGATGGACCAGCGGCTACTATAGAACAACAACAAGAGTGAGTAAACAAGGGTGCGCCCATTGTGGTCCAGAGCAAAAAGGATATGGACCGGCGACTGCTATTGAACAACTGCAACCCAAAAAATTCTCATCTAGGTGAGATCTTTTGCTAGAGCCTTAGCTCTGTCTTTCGCCAGAAGGTCGGCGAACTCGTTGGACGTCCTCTAGATATGCTTTCATGAGACGACCTTATCCTTGCAAGTGTAAATAATCTCATAAAAAATTGAAGATAGGTACCCATGGAGGTGGTAATGTCCCGGCTGCCCAGGAAATGATATTTTGAGCGTCTCCTACTACACACTGGTGTGATCCCCTAGCCTGGTTGAAGCTTTTAATACCCAAGAGCAGAGCCATGGCTTCAGCGAACTGAGAGTCTTCATGGCCTAAGTGCTCAGAGTAGGTGAGCAGGATGTTGCGTTGGTAGTCGCGAAAGATTCCATTTACTCCAGCTGTGCTAGGGTTCCCCAGAGAGCAACCATCGAAGTTAAGTTTGATGGTGCTTTTTGGAGGGGCCAACCAGTTGTTGGGTCTTTGAATCTTACGTGGTTGGAGGTTGAGGATGTTTTCCCATTGGCTGAGAAAGGTGTTTGCCGGTATACCAGAGAAGGCCCTATGGTTGGAGGCCCAAAAAATTACTAGAGAAGTAATCTTGTGGAAAAGTGTTGGAACTTCATTTTTGTGGCCTTGAAAGATCCTGACATTCCTTTCTAACCAAATGACCTAGATAGTTGCTGCAATAACGGCCTTCCATAAGGTTCTTCCACGCTTCGGCCAATGAGAGGCGAGATACAAGGAGATTAGAATCGTGATCAAAGGTGGGGTGACCCATTGGAATCCAAACAACTGGATTAAGAGGCGTCACAGGTTGTGTGCTATGCTACAATGGATGAAAAGGTATGGGTTCAATTCCTCCTCACATTGACACAACACGCACCTGTTAGGGATTGGGATCCCTTTCTTTTGAAGCTGGTCAACTGTGAGAGCCCTTTGGGGCCAAGCTATCCAGTTGAAGGTTTGCACTTTAGGAGGGGCGATAGTGGTTCAGACCTTGGAAAGGACAGAGATGGGGTTGAGTGGAAAAGTGGGAGGCTGGATTAGTTTTTTGTAAAATGAGGCCACCGAAAAGCTGCCAAAAGGAGAGAGAGTCCAAACAAGAGAGTCCCTCCAGGGGAATGAAGTTGGAATGCAAAGCTGCCGAGAGAGATAGGAAATGGGCAATTTCCTCCTTTGTGAGTTTTCTTCTGAAGACTTGAAGGACTTTCACGCACCTGAGGCCCTATTCAGGGATCTCCCCTCAGGTACCCAAGCATCTTTCGAAATCCTATATTTGCTGCAGAGGACCTGAGCCCAAAGGGAGTTAGTCTGAGTGGCTAACCTCTTCCCTAGTAGAGCCAGGTTTTGTTTTCTGAGGATCTTGATCCCCAACCCTCCTTGAAGTTTGGGGAGGCAGACCTTGTCCCATGAGATGAGGTGACATTCGGTTTTCTCAGCCTGACCTGACCAGACTAGAGGTCCTCATCAGTTGGTTGAGGCGGTTTGCCACCGAGGCTGGCATGTGGTAAAGGGATATAAGGTAGACCGGGGAGTTAGCCAGGGTTGCTTTTACCAGCGTGATGCGACCTGCTAGAGAGAGATATCTCCTTTTCCATCCTGCCAAGCGCATATCTACTTTGTCAATCACATGAGACTATTGTCTGTTTTTTGGTTTTCCCAATCCCAAGGGTAGACCAAGGTAGGTAGTGGGAAAGTCCTCCACTTTGCATTCCCAATTTGGAATTAGTGCTCTGCTTTCGACTTTTTTGAGGGCTACTTCCATCATCTTTGATTTGTCCATGTTGACTTTGAAGCTACTTGCTAATTCGAAGCATTTTAGAAAAACCCTTAGATTATCTATTTCTTCTTATGTGGCATCAAGGAACACCAACGTGTCATCTGCGTATTGTAGATGAGACACAATTGGGCCTTGAGAACTGCATTTGAAGTTGGTGAGAAGGCCTTCCTGGTACATACGAGTGATAGAGCGACTAAATAATTCGGCTGCGATGGCAAAGAGGAAAGGGGATCCCCTTGGCGAAGTCCCCTAGAGGATGGGAAAAACCTTTTGGAGTCCCATTGATTAGGACTAAGAAATGAGGATGAGAGTAGTAGCCTCTCATCCACCTTCTCCAAAGGTCCCGGAACCCTATTCTAGACATTGTTTTGTCTAGTATTGCCCAGTTGACATGTTCATACGCATTTTCCCAGTCTATCTTGAAGATGAGGCCGGGTTTCTTGGACATGTGCCTGTAGTGAAGGCATTCATGTGCCACTAAAACCCCATCTCGGATTTGCCTATCTTTGATGAATGCTGACTGAGATGGCAATATGATAAGGGGGAGGACTTGTTTCAGCCTAGATGCCTGGACCTTGGCGAGAATTTTGTAGGATGAGTTAACAAGGCTGATTGGACGAAAATCCTTGAGTTTCTCTGCCCCTTCTATCTTAGGAACTAGAGCAATGAAGGTTGCGTTGATGGCTTTGGGAAGAATTCCCCATTGGAAGAATTCATCGAAGAAACTTTGCAAATTTGCTTGGAAGGTTTCCCAGAAGATCTTGAAAACGGCAATGGGGAAACCGTCAGAGCCGTGGGCTTTGTCTTTGGCTAGGTCGTCGACAGCCTTAGCAATTTCAAAATCAGAGAAAGGCCGCTCTAACGAAAGTGACCAATGGCTCGGAAGAGTTGAGAAATCTAAATTGGTTATCCTTGGTCTGGAGCCCATTGGGGTAGAGTAGAGATTCTGAAAGAAACCGAGGATGGCCGTCCGCAGGCTGATCTAGGATACGGTTACCAACTTTGATTGTGGAGATAGTATTGTCTCTTCTTCGACAATTGGCTATCTGGTCCCCTGCTTTTAACTAATTTACTCTGGACCTCTGAAACCAATATAGTTCTTCCTTTTTGAGAATGGAGAAGTAATCCATCTTGGTTTGGGTCCGGAGGTTGGATTCTGTGGCTGACAGAGGTCTGGATTCCTCTGTTCGGTCTAGGTCTTGAATGGTGTTCTGCATTCTCTCCCTCTTTACACCATTGTAGGCATTGTTATAGTATAAATGTGGATTGGGGCATTATTTTTCATTACAGCTTAAACATTCTCTCCCTCTTTAGGCATTGTACTCTTCTATGTGGATTGGGACATTATTTTTCTTTACACCATGTAGGCATTGTATCACTAGAATAGCCGTACAGTATAAATGTGGACTAAGAAGTATTTTTCTTTACAGCTTAAACATTCTCTCCTTTAGGGATTGTATTCCATGTATACTTTTGAGATCCGAATCTGGATCCTGGTGGATCCGGACCCGATCCGACCCATTCTCAGCGCTCTTTCTCTCTCTAAACTTCCGTTGCTTATTGTATGGTAGCTATTTAATTTTGGCAAAATTGTGGTTTTCTTTTGTTTGTGTTCTTTAAATTATTGTTAGCTTTTATTTGTTTCCTGTGTCTCTTTTCATTTTCCGCAATAAAATGTGTCATTTCTTCAATTTATTTTTATTTTTGCTTTTGGGTTTCCTGCTAATTATAGCATCAGGTACCTTGATATCAGATATCAATATAAACTCACACACATATGAGGGCATCAGAAAATACACATGTGAGTTCAATGTGTTCCCTTTTCTGTAATTTCTTATTAACATGTCTGGAAATTTTCTTTTGCCATAGATCATAACCATTGATCTAGGAGTGCTTGTTCTTGTACATCAATTCTGTAATTTATTGCCTCAATTATGGGAGTTACATAAGTTAACGACAGTTTTTCACGGTTAATAATTTAATAGTGTAACCTATTATATTGAAGGTGGAAGTTATGGAGCAATAATAGTGTAGCCGATTAGATTGAAGGTGAAAGTTATGGAGCAAAGGGGATGAAAGTTTATCATAAAGATGGGAGAAATTTGCAGAAAGAGGCCCACAATTTTCACCATCGGCTTTATCATCATTTGGTTAGCAATATTTATGCTAAAACCAGTTGTAATTTAATCCAGCTATATTGCTATCCAGCTCCAATCTACACCATCTATAACTATGGAGTACCCAACATTTTGGTACCTCTGAATTTCATATGTTTCCACGGCTCTTAGAGATTTTTCAGAGGTGGGTTTTGTGCAAGTATATTGCCTTTGCAGAAATGGAAATGCTCACGATCCCCTGAGGCAGCACTTTTATCCCTATTGGTTCGGATTCCAGTCACCCATATGTTCTGGTTCCCTCTGGTTCCTTCCACTTTGGATTACTTTCATGGGCATCAGGAGTGTAAGCCTTGCCTTTCAATTAATGGTACACATGCTTCACCGAGTGGTACACATGATGAAGCGGAAGGAAATTCTGGAGTTCCTGATTTTAGTTTTGTGCCAGACTCCCATGGGGTTGAGCTACAAAGTTACACCATGGAAGAGTGACGTTGGAGAGTGGCTTTCGGGCTGTCATTCAAGGGCAATTGCAGTTTATGTTAATGAGGTAGTGACATGGACTGTCAAGATGACATCCCTCTTTTTTTTTTTTTTCCTTCTTATGCGTGGGATTAATTCAGTTTTGGTCAAATTAGTTGTTTAAATATTCAAATTGATGACCGATTAGATAGTTGAGGTTTTTTTTTCGATATTGAGTTTGTTTTCTTTTAGGGTATGTTTGATAGCACTCTAATATCCTGATATTTTAGAATATTATGATATCTAATATAATTCTAATTAGAGAAATTTTGGAGCTTGTTTGATAGGGTCAAATCAAATATTTTCAAATTCAAAAAACTGCCTCATATTTGAATCCCCAAAAATTCAACTCTGGCTTGAATTTTTGAAGATGCTAAAACTTATCACGGGGCATTCTATTTCTACTGTCAAAATTTTTTGCCCTCCCTCCTTTCTTTCTCTTCAGCACCCAACCTCCTCCCCAACTATCTCTCTCTTTCTCTCTCTCTCTCTCTCTCTCTCTCTCTCTCTCTCTCTCTCTCTCTCTCTCTCTCTCTCTCTCTCTCTCTCTCTCTCTACTCTCTCTCTCTCTCTCTCTCTCTCTCTCTCTCTCTCTCTCTCTCTCTCTCTCTCTCTCTCTCTCTCTCTCTCTCT